TTACAATAGCAGTTGAAAAATAAAATAAATATATAGTCACGATTTTTTTTTTATAAGCATTCAAAGTTTGAGTTTTGACAACATATAAAAATTTTTCTTTTTAAATCTAAGATTTGAAAATTTTTAATAATCTATAATATATCCTAGACACATAAACCGTTTCCGCTGAGAAAAGTTTTTCGTATACAATGGTATAATATCATTTGATTCAAATTTAATTCCATCCATTACAGTAACCCACTTGTAACCTACTGTACAGCAGAGCGACATCCACTTTCCCACTTTTTTTTTTGTACCTATTAAATGTATACTACGTATACGATCTGCAACGCGGAACGTGACGAATGATAATTGTACGAACGCGCATCGTATTAAATTGCCGAGATCGCATGACAATATTGCATTGTCGGGTAGATAATGGTCGTCCGATTGTACATTTTCTGTAGGACGCAGGTGTTTGGTTAGGTCGACCCATAGACCTTTTACTCAGTAGTATGGGTCTATGGATCGACCTTTCAGAGGCGGTGCCACACTCTGTTTCCTCGTAATGTTACGAATGTATGTATAATATAATATTATTTTATAACATATATATATATAAATTATTATATATACTCGTGAAGGTACTCCGGTACTCGTATTGGTAAATAATTGTAATTTACGGTAATCTTAATATCATAGTATAGTAGCAGTATATATAGATATTAAACATAATCACCATCAATATTCATTTTTCAAATAATAACACGGTAATTATTTAGATAAAATATTCGAGTATTTACTATTTGCTGCATTTACGATTAACAGGTAGGTACTTTAACTATATCAGATTATAATGAGGAGCTGTTTTACTGTTATTTAATGGTAGAAATACCTATACACGCAACACGAGAAGCCAGATAGTGCCTTTTTTTATGTATTTATTTGAAATTCTTACATTGTATAGAGTCCTTGGATAGAGAAAAATAGATTTGACTTTAACTGTTGAAAATCACTTAATTTTTGTATGTTAGTAATTAGTATGTTACATATAACTCTCTACTATACCAACACAATAAGCATGTATACAGTACATAGCCAGACACAAACAGCATTTCAAACTTGAGCGAAGAAAGGTATGAGCCTTGAGTTAATTTCGATTCTCGATAAAAAATATAAATCATGTGATATAGGTAAGTCGTATTATACAATTAAGCAGGGATTAAGACCTTTGTGCCCAGTCCCCAAGGGTCAAAACTAATTCGTGACTTTGTGAATCCTCGTATTAATACACGTTTTGGCTAATGTGTAATTTTTCGTTTATAAACATGAAATTGAAATATCAACATTATCCGGATAATGTTAACTTTAACCAGTTAATATTGGATAATGTTAAAAGTTATATATATTAAATAGAGTTGTTAGCATTTTATACATTATACAATATAATAATGTGTCGGACTACCACTGTATAATATCTTAATTAACCTATAACCGAGTTAGGAAGTCAGTTATCTTACCAATAAAGTGAACAAAATTATATAATATATAGGCTTAACATCTAAATAAAATTATATTAATAATTTATGCATTTTATGGAAATTACAAAATTGTGTTTTAAATATATTCGATATTGTTAATAATTTAAAATGATTTTATACATTTTATGATTGTTAAGACATTATACAAAAGTTCTTGGATGATATCATACTATCCGGTTGATGTTAACAATTTAATATTAACCAACTTTTAATAATATCCATGGCGTGTACCTAATGTTTTACGCGGCTTTGTTTTTGTAGGGTACCTATAACAATATTATCCAAACAAGAAATAGTATTTTGTATCCGGTTAATGTCGACTTTATCCAAATTTTAACATTACTTGTAACATATGCACACTGCAGTAAAATAAAAACAAACATTTGTTTTTCAAAAAATGGTGTCATTATAGAAGCTTGAAAAAAATTATTCATGATTTCCTTGTTTATTTTTCACATCTCTGTTTCACTGAGGTAATTTTTAGTTTCAGATTTGAGGTATTAGTACCGGTTATTGGTATACATTTATTATTTTTAATTTATATTTTTGTACATTAATTCGAGCATAATAGTAACAATAGGAGTAGGTAAGGACTCATAATATTTTAAGCATGGCTAGGTATGTTTCATATTTTTTTTATCAAACAAATTAAATTTATTAATTAGGTTTATAGTTAATAATAATTTTGTGTAACTACAATATTTACTATCAAATCGTTTATAGACTCTATAAACGGGTACCTCGTACCTACCTAACATGTAATAATGAATAATGATAATGATAATAATAATAACAGTACGTAATATAAATCACATAATAATAATTAGTATTAACATTTGAATGTACTTAATGGCTAATAAAGATTCAAGAATCGCCATAATTGTTCTAGATTTGTATATTGTATTATTGTACATTAACCTAATTGTTAGCTTTACTTTTTTATTAAATTTTTTTCCAAAAATGTAATTGAATAAAATGGGGAAGAATCTAATAAGTCAAACAACTTTGTATGGAAGATGGTCTTCAAGTTTAGAGCCAAAGATCAGATAACGACTAACGATAACTAATCGAACAATTTTTACGTATATATAGGTACCTAACCTACGAATACAATAAAGGACATTTTATGACAATGTTAATATGTCTGATAAATAATACAATTGTTTTCGGCATTTGTAACTCTACCAATATCGTAAATAATAATATAATCATGAATCATGATGACCAGTTAAAATGTGTTTCTCAGTCCGGTCTGTCCCATAGACTATATATAGTTATTTTAAATATACCTATCTACTTCAATGTATACATATTTATTTTATTTATGAATGTCGAGGGTCTTTAAACAGTTTTGGGGGACTTGAGCTTCCAAAGCCCGCTGCTAATGTTTTACTATGATGCATTAGGTACTGTACGCATTAATCGAACAAAACTATTTGTACAGTATAGTATTAAAATGTTATTTGCATATTCATTGTTCCCACCATCGTTGTTGCGAGCAAACGGTGCCAAATTGTCTCCATGAGACTATAGTCAGCGACTACTGAAACACTGCGATAATGCACAAAATACGACAAATACGTACAATAACATTTTAATGCAGTGTAATATTTGATCAACGTTAGGCCGTTTTGTTCGATTTGTTATGTCGCAGTAAAGCSAATGTCAGTTAATATACATAATATCATATACCTACCACAGCGATACAATATAATATATTATACGAATGTGCTGGGTATTGTAAAATTTATATTATTGTGTATTCACTGTCGATTAAGCACCACCTCTCCGACCGGCTTGCCACACTGTCGTTATGCATTGGTCGTATATATATACTTGTATGCGTGTATGGTATATATTATAGTATGTAGGTATATAACGTWTACCTATCTACTGCGTAGTTTGCTGTGACGATAAATGATAATAATAATAATAATAATAATATTATATTGTACATTTTATTATACCTCTCTATACCTAAGCGTAGGTATAAACGATATAATATTTCCGCGTTTACCCAGTCCACGGATTCGGTTCACGACGGGCGGTGGCGGGCARGACCGCTTGCCGCGCGCCCACCCACCACGACCGCCGATCCCCCGGCGACACCGCGACCGCGGCACTGATATCGTATAACAAACTGCCGTGGTCGGGTGGGAAATGAGTGCGCCACCACTACATCACTACTGCACCGCTTAACCCACCTGCGAAGAGTACGCACACACACACACACACACATTCGCGCACGCACACACAAACACACGCGCACACACAAACATATGCGCGCACACACACACACACACGCACAGAACATTGGAGGAACACTGCAGCGACTAGCGACAATCGAGTGCAGCGGCGCAGCGTCGTCGCCGTCAGACGGTGTTTAACCTTTATCGTCGATCGTCGTCGCTCATTCAGTCGTCCACGACCCACGTCCCGCTGCGCAGTTCGTCAGTGTCTCTCTGTCTCGCGCCACAGTCCATCGCACTTCCAGTCAAACACAAAATCATTATTATTTTATTATATCGTTAATTATTCACGGAAGGTAATAAATCGTCTGCCAACATGACCGTCATCACTATGCCGACGGCCGAGAAGAAATCGGACAACGTGCCGCTGGTCACCAACATCGAGATCGACCCATCTGTACAGGTAACCCGTGACAGATTAGCGTTATGGGGTTTTTTCGCGTCGTTCCACCTTTCCGCACCCGTCCTATGGAACCGAGACTCAACTCGCAATATTATTTTCAATGGTTTTCCCGTCTCTTCCGGGTTTTTGCAATTTGTTTTTTTACGCCTACCTGCCTGTTATGCGTCGTTTTTCTTTCGTTTCGCTGACTACACTGCCGGGCGTGTTGTAAACTTTAATCGTTGATATAATAATATAATGCAAAACGTTGTATTATTGGTAATAATATTATGTCGATGGCTATTATGTCTGTTATTACTACCTATTATTGTTGTTTTTATTCTAATTATAACATATCATCACGATTCACGATATCTTTCGTTCGAGGACAAACATAATATTGTCTCGTTCGTGCGATTATTAACTGCAACAACAACAACAACAACAGAATCGTGGTTTCCAACTTACAAGTCAACGTATGATACATAGCCAAGTGACTCGATAGCGTTAGTCTACTTTGTAAAGTTGTATAATGAGCTATCGAGTTTCGATTGTAATAATTACTAATTATCGTCGTTATTGTTGTCGGGGCATTTCTATAATTAGAAAAATAGTTTTATTTCCACGAAATTTATTCGTGTTCCGAACCAATGTGAACTGGACGATTATGATGCGTGGACAATATTTATACAATATTTATATTGGTTATCGTTTAAATTGTTTAAAAACATTATTGAATACGTCATCAAAGTTTTGAGTTATTTAATTTTCGTTTAGTCATCGTCCGTGTCTTTGTGTGACATTTACAATAACATTCTTGTTATATATTATTATGCATAAATTATTGTTGTTTAGTTTCAATGTCATCCAATTCCTATCTTAATGTAAACGATAACGTGCTTGGTTGTGAATTTTTATGTTTATTTTATAATAATATGTACATGCTATCAATGCAGTGTTTTTGGGCTGAAGCCCAAACTATTACACACCTAACAAGTAGTAATTTATTACCATCGTATAATACTTTCATTAGAGAGTTCATTGTTTTCTGGCTTTTCACAATGAATCTTTTGTTTTCTATTATGTTGTGAAACCAAATGTATTACTTGCGAGTAACAGACTTTGTTCTATGATAAAGCTTTGACTCTTCCATCAACATTTCAACATTAATATAATGCTGTATATTTCTCAATATTTTAAAATTGTCTTATCTTGTAATAGTGTTGTATTTATCATATTAGGTACCAGCATATATATATATATATTATATACATTGGGGATACTCCCTAACTCTTATTATAAAATGCTTGATAGATTTTTATATGGTATTAATTAAAATATGTGGGCTTTAATTTCTTATTATTATTTGTGGACAATACTAGTGCTTATTAATAAAAATCTTGAATTGATACCTATTAGTTTATCATAAAATATTTCTATTACAATTTACAATTCTCGTAACATTAAATTATATTTATTTTTTTACTTTTTTACCCATTTCCTAAACCTCATAATTTATTATATTCTGCTATTACAATGATACCTACATAAAATAGGTAACAACACTAGTTATGTTTCATATGGGTATTATTTTATTAATAACAAGTTCTAAGTGAAGGTCAAAGAATATTCAATTATGTTTTCTATTATATTACCTATTTATTTTTTGACTTTAAATTAAATATTTATTTTTATGTTGTTGAAAATATCACGGTTATTTATAAAACAAAATATATTCAGTTATTACTACTTGTATTTTAATTTTTAATTAAGTAGGTACCTATCTAGCTACCACTTACATTTTGGTTAAATAATGTTTTAATAATATCTTATTAATTTCTTAATTAAAATTAATGAGGTTTAACACTGATTCTTTTTATACAATTTATAATAACTGATTGAATGGATAACATTCAAAAATATAAAATATCCAACTTACTATATTGATTTTTTATTTATAATATTATTTGGTTGATACCTAGTAGGTAATACATAATATATTTCTTAAATTAAATTTTTTTAATAATTACTTTTTTTATGTGTTCCTTGTATCAGTTGTTTTCTATTCGTGTTGTTTGGAACTATAAGATATTTTTAAATTTGGAAGTGATTGAAATATTAAATCATGTAGTGCTTAACTTTGAACAAGTATAATTGTGTGTGAGTCCAAGTAAACATGAGATGATAACTAGAAGATGGACTGTGTTATTTACTATTATTGTATAAAGCTGGTCATAAGAGATAATTTATATAAATAGATTCCTTATTATATGTGTAGAAAATCTAACAATTTAATATGTTAGTGAGACTTAGGGAATATGAAAATTTTGTGAAAAACAAAACGTGTTATGTTTTTAAAAAGTTTGAAAACCACTGCCTTTTATTATTTGTGAATTATTTCATTAAATATCTTTGTACAAATATTAATTAGAATATGAAACAAAATCATAGTTTGTTATAAACACCCTGTATTACACCAAATATCTATTTAGAACAGGGTAAGACTTACACTCGGACTTACATTATATTGCTCACATTTTATGTACAGAATATTTTTTAGAAATTTATATGTTATTCAATTTATATTAAAAAGTAGTTCCAATCGACAAAATGTCGGCAAACATCAAATGATTGTGTTTGTCTAACAGCCAATGACGTACCAGTGTAATAACAGCTTTATGTTAGGTAACAGAAACTAATTGACAAAATATTTAGGTATTTGACTTTTTACTCTATTTTTTTTTTAATAATTCTTCAATTCTTCAATTCAAATCAAAACAAAAAAAGAGTCTATCAACTACTTTAAAATATTTATATAGCAGTTGAGTCGTAGTATAATATTGTATAAGTATTTACTTTGAAGACAATTAGTCCTTTTTTTTAGTTTTTTCTGCTCATAAATTTTAATATTTTCTCTAAGTACTTATTTTGTATAGTAACTCTCTTATATTTTAGTATGGTATTTTGTAATACATTTTTAAATTGACGTTAAATGTTTGTTTTTTCCCTAAAAACTATTTTTGTTATCTATAGCTAATTTTTTTTTATGTACTATTGCATTACCATATTCATTAAAAATGTCTTATTTATTATGATTATGAAAATTATTCATAAATACTAAATAGTGATAATAGTTAATATTAGGTAATTAAAAATACACAAAATGTGATTATAAAATTAATAGTACCTACCTAATTATATAATTTCAATTTATATTAGTGTTGTTTTGACGTTTTTTGAAAAATTTTGAATTGCTAGGTAACAAAAGTAAATTAAAGTAATATCACAGGTTATATAAATATAATAAATATAATAAATATTATATAATTTTATATAATTTTATATAATCTGTGGTAATATTATTAAAAATAAATAATATTTTTATTTTTATTGGAAAAAATAACTAATTTTTGTTTCTAAAGATATATTAATAGTGAAGTAGCCAGATTATTTTTTAGGTGTTTATGCCCCTCTCCTTCTTATCACAATTTTGTAATCCTGCTATGCCACTGGATATTAACATATTTGAATCATTAGATGGAGTTCAAATTCCAATTGAAGTGTTCAAATTTAAAAAAAAATTGTTATTTCTCTTTCAACGAATTTTAAACAATTGCTAACACATTTTGTAATTAATGGGTTCTCTCGCTAACATATTTTTTTATTATTATTTATAATGTCTTAAGGTTTTTAAATTAGGCATTAAAATAATTTTGGTTTTTTTTTTTTCAGGAAAAAGACCTGGAATCAGGAAATGGTGCACATAACCGCCCTGTCAGATCAAAATTTTTGGTGCTCAGAGTCATTAATGATCGTGTTTATTCTATGTGGGCATTAATTTATGTGTTGCTGATGTCATTAGTAATTACATTTATGATGCTCTATGGGGAACATATTTATAGAGCTATTGGAAACGCTTTTAATGACGAGGTAATACCTTGAATACAATAAATTATAATATTATACATTTTTTTTAGTATATTATTATTCCCCATTTGTATATAATATATTATACATCCAAATTACTAAAAATTAATTTTTAATTTAAAAAAAAAACCGACGAGCGACATGTCAAGGCATGTAGCTAATATTTACACGGCCAATTGGAGCACAAACAATTTGTGCTGTGCGAATTATTTAATTATTTTTAGACACTCTAAAATCTGCAAAAACTTTTTTATTATTGTATATATTTTTTTATTACAAACTGTTCATAATATTCAATTTGATATTATGATAGGAAACTAATGATTCTTAAATATTTTTTTTTTGATGGTTTATGTGCTTCTGTGTACCATACCATGAGCAGCTACTGCTTACTTATTATACAAATGTTGGAAGTCCTTTATAACCTTGTGTATAACTTAAATATTTTAATCCTAATAATTCTATTTGTAATATTATAATCTTGAGTGTTGATTTATCAGATATCTGATATAGTACATTCAGAAAAAAAATTATCAGTTAAGTAAAAATGATAATCTATACTAATATTATAAAGCTGAAGAATTAAAAAAGTTTGAATGCGCTTATCTCAGGAACTACTAGTTTGAATTTAAAAATTATTTTTTTGTTGAACTGTTCATTTATTGAGGAAGGCTATAGGCTTTATCTTATATATGATTTTTAGAAAGTTAAGTCGGAACTTAAAAATTTATTAAAAATGTATKAATTTGCTATTTGATAAAACATAAAATTATTCTCGCATATCGAACATTTTATGATGCAGTGGTACTTCAGTGGATTAATGAACTGAGTGTTCCATACCTGTAAATAATACTTTTCAAGTACTTTTAGTTTTTAAAGTAGGTTTCTAATTAACATGGTAGATACATAGTAGGTTTATATTAATTTTTATTTTATTAAATAAATATTTATTAAATTTTAGAAATATGTTTTAAAATTCAGTATTATGGCTAGAATTACTCATATTAAAACTTTAAGTAAATAATTAATTTTTATTTATGTAATTACTTCACTGGATTTAACTCTAAAAATGTAAAATCACACTTTTAACAGACACATTTTACACATTCTTCGCATTTATGAACTACTCAACTACACGTTACACAAGTCATTAAATTAATTTAGCAATAATATTTTTCCAACCAAGTATTTCAAATAAAAATTAACTAATTGAAAAAAATCAAAGTATTCAATAAAAAAATAATTTTAAAATACCATTCAAAATACTTTATGCTAAAAGTACTTAAAAAGTTATTCAATACTTAAAAAAGTATTTGAATACTTTTACTCAAATACTTTACTCTACCGAGTTCGAATCAGTTTTGATGGTCCAAACTTTTTGCGCTGTTTTCAGATTTTTTTCTTCTTTTTACTTATTAGTTATTACTTTTATAGTTATTTTAGTATAATAATATTCGATCTGTTAATAATCTACATTATCTATTAAAAAATAGATTTCTGTCTGTTAGTCCTTTATGGATTCTAAAACGTTCTGAAATTGGATACCGTGATACATTAGACCTATGGACAGAAGATAGGCTAGGTTAAAAATGATAAGCCCAAGAGGTGCTCAAACAGACATTTTGAGATTTACGATGGAAATTTTTGTTTATAGATGGTTACTATTAGTTTTAATAATAATAATAATTAGTGCGAAAGAAATTATTATTCCTGAATTTGTTCCCAATGCACGTGCGTATAAGGCATTAAAAGTTTTTATTGATATTTTGTCACAAAAACGCCATTTCTATGCAGTTATGCCTCCCCAAAAAAGATTGATTGGTAGTTCGGATATGAAATTAGTAATTTGTTATGAGGTACCAACTTTAAAAATTGTTTCACCTTTAAAATGCTAAAAATGAGAGAAAATATTGTGATTGAATATAGTTTTATTCCTGTATTTTGTGTTGAAAATCTTTAATGGAGATTAAGATAGGGTAAATCCACGGGAATCCATCGCGGGAAGTTTTGAACATGGCTAGCCAGGTATTAAACAACAAATTAAACACACATTTTGAATCATAGAATTAGTATTTTTAACGGGCAAGAAGTGAATGAGTATCAGCTAGTAGTTAATATGGTCACTTACAAATTAATAAAAAAATAATCTGATGTATGATTTATATGGCTTTATTTTTAAGTTAATTGTTCTAGTGCAGCGGTTCTCTAACTGTGGTACGCGAAAGGCCGCACGGTGATAGGATGGAAAATTAAAAACAAATATTGGATTCTTAGCGTAGCGAATAGTGATGATTATACAAAGTCGTGTGTTTTTTTAATATTCAGATAATAAAGGTTAGATTTCACGAAACATACGTTAATAAATAAGATATCGTATAGGTATATAATCGTTKAAATTTTCAATATTTTTAATCATCAGTGGTACGCGACTGATTGATAATATACTTAAGTGGTACGTGAAAAAAACAAGTTTGAGAACCGCTGTTCTAATGTAATAAATTGTTTTGTATGAATATTTTTTGTTTAAAAGTAACATTTATATTAGGTACTTATAAATATAAAACAATTGACTACATAAACAATATTAAATGTCGAGTTGGCAAAAATTTTGGTATACCTATTTAATCTACTTCCACAAACCAATTTTTCATTTTTAATTTTTAATTAAAGGTATTAGTTATTACTTATTAGTAGGTACATTATCTGCTGAGTACACATTACGGCTATATATTATTTATTATTTATAATTTAATATTTAAATTACCAACCTGCAAAAATRGTCCAGTCTACCTTTTCCAACCATAAGACCCAYCCACCCACCCATTAATATTTGTGTGAATCACATGATTCAAATATACTCCCTTCGAACCGCCACTGTCCCCCCATATAGTATCTATATATATAGTATATACATTTAATGATATGTATTACTTCAATTTATGAACGAATAAATTAAATCTTACAATCTTAAAATTATTATAATGATATATGATTGTGAATAATATCCATTTTATTATAAAAATAAAATATGTAAGAGAAAAAAAGTTCAATAATTCACTGTGTAATTTGTAATGCTTACACAGCTGTACAACAGTTGTTTGCATCTAGGCAATAGGTAACAAACAACCTAAATTATAATATGTTTACATATTGATTTTTGAGTGGGTTAGGTGTGTAAGAATTATTTACAATTTTCTATTACATTTTTTTACATTAAAGTTTTTGTTGAAATAATTGGTAGGTATTATGCTTACAATGGGACATAAAAGCTATACAGAAGTATTATTTTAAACAATTCAATTTCATACAAAAGTACAATTATCATAATTTATGTTTGTTAATATTTCTATTTATTAGATCATTAGTCATTGGTCCTATCTTGTTAATACTTTTTATCATTAATGTACTTTTTGTTAATTTTCTGATTTCTTGTTAAATTGAAGTTACTTATCTAAACATTTATCAATGCCTAAGTTCGTTTTTTCATTCTTATCATTGATAATTAATGTTAATGTACTTGGTATAATTTTAAAATAAAAGGTATTTTAATTATTATGTATCTTTCTATTTACCATTTAAAATGTTTAAATATAAAGATTAATTATTATACTGTATACTCTGTTCACATTAATAATACATTGCATTCACGCACATAGTCTGAGCCGCTAATCACTGTTTGACCACCCAAGTGATCACTTTATATTCTATGATTGGCTAACAGTCATTGGCAACAGTTATCAATTGATGTCACTGTTGTTGCGGCCATAGTGATTCTTGGTGGCTGACACCAACGCTTGCACTATGGTACCCGTTTTGTGGTGTGGATGTGCGACGTGCGTACATGACAAGTCTTGATTGGCTGAGTTGCTTATTCTTATTGTGAATGTAATAAAACACCTATAAAAACCCCTCGATAATAATGTTGTTTTTAATTTTTATAAGATGTCAATTCACTCTAAATTTTAAACTAACAAAGGTACATTTGTTCTGCTTAGCGTAAAATTTGGTATGTTACGCACTTGTAAGACGGATAAAACACATGCAGGTATCACATCCTCTTAAAAGAATAATGGTGTACTACAAAAAATTAAAAAAAACTATATTTTTAGAACACTACTTTTATGATAAAGTTTAAATCTATAAGTGAATGAAATTATACCTTAAAATGTATTAATACTTAATAGTTTGATGTATATTCTTTCAAATTTATATGACTTTAAAATTTTAATCTATCTTAAAATGTCTAACATGTAAATAAAATGGCGCTGCTTCAGTGTTGTTTTATTTGATTAAAAAAAAATATATATATATATACCTTATCAGTAATGTGCGATTCATTTTCAATGTGTTTCGTAGGTTCCTCATTACTTGTTCATATAACAATTAAAAAATATAAAAATACAGAGATACAAATTGCAATGTTGTTGTACAAGCTTTTGAAGTTAGAATTAGACAGATTACTTTAATAGCTATAATATCATAAAATATAGGCTGAAAGATCTTTCTAAGCTCAGAACCATTTTTTGTTTCACAATGATTTTGTATCATTGAATTCAAATTGAATACATCTATTACAGTGACCTACTGGACACATGTAGTACAGAAAAGTGACACCTACTTGACCACCATTTTTAAAATGTATATTTGCTAAGAATTAATTAGGTAATTTAGTGATTGTATATGATTGCATTAATAAGTATACTATTTTAATTTTATTAATTTTTGGAATAGAATGATGCTTTCTATGGGACTGGCACTATTTCTTTGAATGATAAGCTATCTCTTCCTATTCAAGATATAAACAATGATTATGAAATGAACCAATTAAAAAATGATATGGAATTCAAGAAACTTGAGGTAAATTGAAATGTTTGATAATTAGACCTAAGTCTTACTGCTTTAAAGTCCTTACTTCACAAATAACATTTTGTTAAATGTTTTTATAGCTTACATACTTTACCTTTGTATAATCTTTTATTTGTGTCAACGTCATAATTCTATATATGAATACTCGTGTTCAATTTATAATTCAATTAGTTATGTAAATATAATATTTTATTGAATATTATTGTTATATTATAGAATTTTGCTTTGAACATGGAGAAAATGAACAACCAAATGATGAATCCTGAAGATGTTATTTCTGAATTTAAAGAAGATTTTGAGCTCGATCTTAGAGAAGAGAGTTATGAAAAAATTCTCCCCATTTTACCACTTGCTTACTCTGCTCGTTTCATTCATGATTTTAGTGTGGTAATAATAATAATAATTAAAATTTTGAAATATTTGAATATTTATTAATTTATTATTAATTTACTTGATTTCAGAATGTCACTGGTATTGTAGATATTGATGGAAAGCGTTGTTTCATTATGCCACTCAATCGCAGTGCAGTATTGCCACCAAAATCCCTGTACGATTTATTATTTAAAATGTCAAGTGGTAAGTATTTTATAAAATACAAATTAATTAAATTATTTTAAGTGTCATAATCAATATATATGTTTTTGGTAACTTCAGGTTTAGTGTTAAATCTATTAGGTTACATATTTATTTAAAAAAATTTGCACATTTTTAACATTCTAGTATGTTGAATTAAAATATTAGTAATTAAAAAGAACTAAAAATGGTTAAAAAGCATTTAGAATTAGAAATAATTTTTATTTTGAGAAAAAAAAACTGGGTTTTATTAGTGTTTTGGTGGAAGTTATATTTTTTGTAATAAGACTTAACAAGTTAATTGACAGTTGGTAATGTCAGATCTTAATGTAAAAATGTATTTGCGACATACGTAAGGTCACAGTATTCAATAATAGGCACTATCTTAGGCATATGTATTATATGATTATTCTTATTTTTTTGAAATTACTCAATACTTATTTGAATAATGATTCCTGATACTAAGTTTAAAAATTATAGTATATAAATATTCTATAAATTAAAAGATGGATCTAATAATGGTTTTTCATTTTTTTCTTTTAGTATAATAAATGGGTTTCAATCTCTTTTAAAAATTATACAGTAACTACAATAATACTCGTAATGAATTAATAATAAATTAGATTAAACATTCTCAAAAATTATGATGATTATGGTTAAATTAAATCATTAAGCCAGATTGATATTTACAAATTAAATTGCATAAGGTAAAATTAAAGATTGTTAGAGGTATCCTTTTTGGCCATTAACGCCTAATTGGCTCTTTTATCATACAGATATGAACAGAGATGATTTATCAGTCTAGGATATATTATATTTAAATATTGTCATATATTCTATTTTGAAACAAATATTTTATTTTTCAATTAGGACGCATTTTGCATAAGGCATGGTTAATCAATTTTACCAAATACATTGCATTTAGTTATCATAATTCATAATACCTTATACTATCATAGATATACATATACCTGATTTCATAAAAAATTAAAACTCAAACACTCAAAACATTTTTTCTATAATGGTGCTTTGAGTTTTCTCTATAGCTACTAGAAGAAAAACTTATGGAAAACTTAGTGTTGTATTTTTAATCCTTAGTCATGAACACAAAAATTTTTATGATTTTTCAACTTCAAAATAATTTGCAAATATTCATGGTTTTGACGAATTTTTGTCAATATTTGAACTTCAAATACTAGTAAAAAAAATTGTGACTATGTATTCTTATAATTTTTTAATCACTATAAGAATAACTTATGAGAAACTTTGTATTAAATTTTCAAGTATTTTGATTGGGCCAAACAAATTTTATCGACATTTCAAAAAAAAATTTCAGTTGTCTATAAATATCTCGAAAAAAGTCAAAATATTTTGAAAATTAAATSATGTAAARAAAATGCCAATCTAAATAACTGGTAAAATTTTCAAGTATCTACGACTTATACTTTTTGAATAATCACAAATATTTAAAATTGTTTGATGATAAATCGTTATCGTTACGCAGTTTCGTAAAAATTTAAAATTCAAACGCACTTAAAATTTGTCTAAAATCGTAAAATTGTTCTAAAAATTAAAACTTAAACACTCAAAACATTTTTCCTATAATGATGCTTCGAGTTTTCTCTATAGCTACTTGAAGGAAAATTAATGGAAAATTTAGTGTTATATTTTTAATCCTTAGTTATAAACACAAAAAATTTTATGATTTTTAAACTTCAAAATTACTTGCCAATTTTCGCGTTTTCGACAGATTTCGTAAAAATTTGAACTATAAACGCTTATAAAAAAAATTGTGCCTATGTATTCTTATAATTTTTTAATCACTATAAGAATAACTTATGAGAAACTTTGTATTAAATTTTCAAGTATTTTGATAGGGCCAAAAAAATTTTATCGACACTTCAAAAAAAATTCTCATAAAAATCGAACATTTTAGTGGTCAAATGTCTCAAATAAATATCTCAAAAAAAGTCAAAACATTTTGAAAATTAAACTGTATATAGATAACACTAACATAAACATTTGGTGAATATTTACAGTGATTAGTTTTTGAATTACAACCATATAAAAAAAATCGAATTGGTCGAAAACTGGTTTTGCGTAAAAATTCCCGTTTTTCTGTCATTTTTTTTGTTGTTTTTCTTGATTCTTTTGAAAACTGTTTGAATATGTTAACTTTTGACCTCTATAACGCACCAAGGATATTCACTTTTACATCGGAAACCACTCCCAAAGTTTGAAATTGAAGCATCATTCGACTAGTTATGCTGTACACAGACACAAAAAAAAAACACACATCATTGTAAAATCAATACATTCATCACTTCGTCCAGAATCTAAAATTAATATATTTTAGTAAATGACTGTCACCTCTATGATAACCTTTATAATATACCTTAAATTTTGTGATTTATATCATTAATATATATTATTAATAGGTTATTATGCCGTTGACACCAGTAATGTGATGCACAATATGCGCGTGGTCAAACCAGCTGTTCAGGATCTCACTCAATATGGCATTTACATTGCTAAGGATTGTGCAGGTTTTTCAACCTATAAACTAGAAAAAATCGTTTCTGGAGGTGTGTAAAAAAAAAAAAATTAAGTCATTGTAATACTTTTATGAAATTTTTAAATAAAAACATTTTATTTTTATAATTAACAGCTGTTTAACATTTAATTTGCGCATGTGCATTGAATATGTTTCATGTTATTATTTAGTTATTTAATTTGATATGACAACTTGCATGAAACTAGCTTTTGGTTAGTGGAACATTTTATTATTGTATTTAAGCTTCTAAAATTAATTTATATTTTATATTACCTTATTAATGTGATACAATTTGGATTTTCTTTTAAAATAAATTATGATCATCTGATTAACTAGTTATTGTGATATGCTTATGACCTTATAATCATTTATAATATTAACACAATACTTTGTTTGTAATATATACATAATATACTACTTTGATTAATATTATGTACTAATTCAGTTTTTTTAATACTTAAAATAAAACATGTTAAGAAAAAAAAACTCTTATTAAGCATTATATACAAACTTAAAAAACTGAATGAAGAAGTGTCTTGCACAAATTTTGATTCACAATAAACTACTATTATTTTTTGATCCTTTAAGAGAATGTCTGCGCAATCTTCGTTTTCTCTCTCGTACTCATGCACTACATAGGTAAAACACTTTAATCTGAAATTTATTTTTAAGATTTCTAAGTAATTTTAGACTAAAATCACCTTTTACAACAATAATAGAGGATAATATTTTGAGGGTATGACATTGATTTTGTATTTTATTATTTGACAAAAAAAAAAAAAAAATGTTAGCTGAATTGCTGTTTTAATTACTGTTTTCTATCGATTTTGTGATTTTACTCTAAGATTATTACAAAAGAAAAAAAAAAATGATGCATGAGTTTTGTCTATGCTGCACTTGGCCCAAGAAATATAAAATCAACAAGTGTGCTGACATCCTCTTAAATTTAATTAATTTTCTTCCTTTTTATATTCAAACTTACATTCAAGAAAAATAATTTTCCAAAATGTATTGGGTGAATACATTTTTAGTTTATCATACTACTATTTTATTTATTTAATCCAACGCTAAAAAACAATTTTGTTGTTTTTGATTACACTTATAATGTCTTTCATTGCCTAATTTTGCCTAAAAAATTACATTTCAATGACTTTTAATAAAATATTATGTACATGTATTATATTCCCAATACAAAATATCTTTACGTTAAATTTAAGTAGCCTAAACCCAATATTTGTATAGATACATATTTTTAAAGGATTTTATTTAGTTTATACACAATTATTAAGTTTTATTTTTGGAGCATGCAATTTTTGTTTTAACATAAATAAATGAATTAATAAATAGCAAATTGACAGTTTTGTATATATAAATAAAATGCTTATTATAATATGCTATATATATTAATTACTGTATAACATATAAAATATAATATATTTATGTTTTGCATTCTTACAATCTTGTTTAATCCACAATCAATACCTTTAAACTTAAAAGTTTAAGTATTATAATAATGTGTCATAGATAAAATAAGTATTGGTTTATATTTTATTTACAATATAATTAAAATTTTACCAATACATTAGAGTTGAAATATTTAACCTGGGAAAAAAGCCATATGATGTTTTAACATCATGTCTTATTAATATTAAATTTTGATAGAAATCGCTAACATATTATTTACTCAACACAAGATACAAGTAAAACAAAATATACAATTATTTTAACTCTTAATACAATATGTAGGTAAAATTTTTAATCACTTCATAAATTTTTCAATATTTTATGGATAATAAGACAATATATAGCTAGTAACATTAAATAACACTACAGATTTTGTTGATTAATTGTTTAAACACATTTCACTTTATGACTATTTTTGAGATGTCAACATTTGTCTTAAAAATAGGATTTATGATGTTAGACAACAACATATAAATATATACATATATATATATATATATATATATATATACAGGGAGATTCTTTTATCGTTGAACACTCATTATTTCTAAAAGTATTGTCATTTTTCCAAATTTTTTTTTTATAAATTTTAGTTTCATACTTTTCTACATTTTTGATAAGTTTTAATATTTTCACCCTTATATTTATCAGGTAAACCACTATCAACTTTTTATTTTCAAATGGGAACCCATACTAACAAATTTATAAACTAATAAGGCTATATTTTTTTTATGAATTTTCACGTTCAAATTTTAATTTTTTGTTTATCCGTTGGTGAGATATAGCTGCTCAAAGTTTTGTGGTTTGGGTAGATGTTTGTGTGTAAATATGCTATACCTAGTCAGTAGATACCGCAGAAATCAGGATTTGTATGCCTCGGCGTAAAACCCTTTACAAATCAAGTCACCTAGTACACTGCACAGTAAACTAAGGATAGCCCCCAAATGTATTCTATTATACCCAATTGTAAGGGTGTCTTGCAGTTCGCCCACTGAAGGCGATTGCGGCACAGGTCATAATAATACTTATCAAATATAAAGACCAGAAGTTGAAAGTAATAAAAATCGCTATCGCCTAATCCCATGGCATAAAGTGATATTATTGTAGTATTACTTCAAGTACATACTCGCTAGTAGCTACAATAACTGATTGTTATGATGTCATATTATAAATTGGTAATTTTAAATTATTATTTATATATAATAAATATAATATATCATATTATAAACAAGTAATTGGATCATTACTGTCACTGAAAAAATTTTTTTTGAAAAATGTCAATACTTTTTGAAATAATGAGTGTTCAACGATAAAATAATCACCCTGTACATATCAAATTTAAACTCTGTAAAATATTATACAACAATTTTGTATATAATTATATTCTGGTGACATCTGTTGGTTATTTTTCATGAGACATAGTACTCATATTACATCTAATCAAACTTGATCATTAAAGCAACATGGAAATTCTAGAAGAATGCAGCTTGTAAGTAACTTTAGTACTTAATTATATTTTTACAATTATTAATTTGTTAGAAATTTTTCTAATGAGTACTTTGTGTGGTGCTCTTAAAATTCTTTCAATGACCGACTCATATGAGCTTACCCCAATAATTAGCCTGTAAGAGAACCATATCTTTGGCATTATGCTATTGATTTTATATTTTATTGATGCATTAGTACGTAGTTTGTGACTGTGGCAATATGGCGGCATAAGCAAAATGCATTTATTTAAATCTTCTTTTCTTTATTGTTTTTGTCAACTTAATCAGTAAATGGATTATAACTTAAAATTCTTTTTAGTTTTTGCTGATTTAAAGTGTGGAAGGATTTGGAAAAGTCCAAAATGGATTCCTAGTCTATATTCTTAATTGTAATCATCCACGGCACGACTAATGACTATTCGTTTTTATTAAGTATGATACCAACTCTCCTCATGTTGGCAAGATACCGATTGCCACTTAATATCTTCTGTTCTTATAAGACTTACTCTATAAATTTTTCCTTCCCATTCATTATCTTATAGAGTATAAGTATAGTCATCTCTTACACTATATGGCGTATACTATGCTCTTAAATAATGAAGTAGGTAATCCAATAAATATAAAATAAAAGGAACCGGCTGTTATTTTTGAATTTAAGGTCGTATTATGCTTTTCTTTGTTATAAATATTGATTGTGTTTTCTTAAATTAACAGTACTTCCTCATAATTTAATTATTACCTTGTTTAATAGAATAGCCTATATAAATAAATAATACATATTTTTTTTGTTTTTGTTTACGGCCATTGAAACCATACCGCCAAACATAAATGCTTTCCGCGTCTCTTTTTACAAAGTCTTTCCAACGTAAGCATGGTCTTCCTAAGGGTCTCTTACCGACCGGGTTCTCTTCGATTGTAGTTCTGACTATGGATCCTACTCTCCGCCATGCCCAGGTTAATCTCCTTTTCTTGATTTCATTCGAGATGTTTGGTCTCTGGAACAGCTCCCCGAGTTCTTTATTATGACGTTTACGCCATTCACCTGTGTTTGTGTCGAAGCATGGGCCGCAGATTTTCCGTAGGATTCACCTTTCAAATACTTTTATTCTGGTTTCTTCTGCTTTCCTAAGTGGCCATGTTTCCGCGGCATACAGTACTATGGGTCGTATCAGTGTCATGTTCATTTGTATCTTCAGGTTTGTCGATAATGTTCCTGAGCTCAGTACTTTTCCAAGATCAAAAAAACTTTTGTTGCCTTTTTGTATCCTAGCACTGACTTCCATCTTCAGGTCATTATCTTTGTTAGCAAGTGCCCCAAGTACTTGAAATGTCTGACTCTTTTGAATACATTCCCTTCTACATTCATAGATTTTCCTTGTTGATATTCTCTGTCCTGGCGACTTAATATCATGTACTCTGTTTTTTCGTCGTTTATCTCCAGTCCGACCTTACTAGCTATCATGATGAGTTTTCTGCATACTTGTTTAACCGTTTCTTCAGTATCTTCTAATATTGCTATATCGTCTGCATAAGCCAAGATATTTATGTTCGAATTCCCAATACTATTCCATTTTTACAATTTTTTTCTCTGATTACTTTTTCTAATATAAGGTTGAACAATATTGGTGATAGTGCATCTCCTTGTCTTAGGCCTGTCCTTACCGTTGCTGGCTTTGACAATTCCGATGCTACCTTTATTTTGATTTCTGTATTTTGCAGAGTGTCCTCAATTAATTTTATTAGTTTATTTGGGAAATTAAACTCTTTTAATATATTTATAAGGCCATGTCGGTGGACAGAATCGTACGATTTTTTGAAATCCACAAATAGTATACATATGCTTTTATTGAATTTCCTTGATTTTTCTATGAATTTTCTTAGGGTAAAGATTTGATCTGTTGGGTCTAAAACCACCTTGATAATCTCCCAGCATCTCTTTTGCAATGGGTTTAACCCTATCTAAAATGCAGTAGGATAATATCTTGTAGACCACATTCAATAAGGTTATTCTTCTGTAATTATTACATATTTGTGGGTCACCTTTTTTATGGATTAGGCATACGACTGCAACATTCCAACCTTCCGGTAGTACTTCTCCCAAATGTGAGTTAGTAACCTATGTATATGTGTTAATGAATCTTGGTCCAGCCAATCAGTCCTTGAATTTCACCTTGTATATTGTTCTCATCAGGTGATTTATAGTTCTTCAATCGCCTTATTTGTAGTTAAACTTCTTGTTTTGATGGTGTTGTACATTCGTTTAGGTTGGGTTCTATCCTTGTCCAAGTAAAGGTTTCTTCGAGGTCGTTTCAGTTCAGAAGATGTTCGAAATACGTTTTCCATCTCTCTACAATGTCTGATCGGGCAGTAATTAGTGTTCCATCTTCCTTTACTAGGAACTTTTCATTTTTTTTTGTAACCTCCCTTTAGTGTATTAATTTTTTTGTATAATTGTTGCGTGTTATGTTCATTGTGATATTTTCCTAATTCTTCCAAAATGTTTTTCGTATAGGCTCTTTTTCATTTTTAAAGATTCGACTTGCTTCTTTTCTGCTTTCATTATACTTCGTTTTGTTTTCTTCGTGGGAAGGGTCATTAAGGTACAAGTTTCTAAATTTTTTCCTTTGATTTAGGGCTTTCTCACACTTCTCGTTGAACCAAGGTTTTTTAGTGTTTTTTGGTTTGCCCAGGACTTCAGTTGATGTTTCTTTTATTGTGTTCTGTACCCTCTTCCACATATTATTTATTGAGCCTATGATATCTATATCTAATTCCCGCCTGCGTTTGTGTATTTCACTTTTAAAACGTTTACGACAAATTTCATCTGTGAACTTAGTTATATCATATCTGTCAATAAGCTTTAGTCTTGTTGCCACCCTCCTCTTCAGTCTTGCTTTTATTTTTACCTTAACCAAATAGTGGTCAGAATCACAGTTCGCTCCTCGCAACGTTTTGACATTCGTAATACTGTTTTTGAACCTGTCAATAAACTAGTACATGGTCAATTTGATTTGTGTGATTCCCATCTAGTGACTTGACTTCCATGTTCCCTTATGGTTCTTTCTATGGGGAAACATTGTGCTCTTGATCACTAAACTTAGCTCGTTGCAAAGTCGATTAGGTTGAGGCCATTATTGTAAGTTACTTCATGCAAGCTATGGGGTGGCCAATGGTTGGTTTAAATATTAATTATTTTCCTACTTTGCATTTAGGTCTCCTAATATAACCACTAATATTCTGTTATTAGACAATCCATCTACTACGTTCGTTAATTTATCATAGAAGTCGTCTTTTTCTTCTTGGGTCTTTTCCTCAGTAGGGGCATGAACACTAATGATTGTGAGGTTAAACCAGTATGCTTTAATTGTTAATAGTGATATTTGTGAGGTTGAATATCTTAAATTCCATTACGTTTGGTACTACTGACTTATGAATTATGAAACCCGTACTAATTTATTGTCGATCATCACAATACTCATAGAAAATGGTATGATTATTAATGTCTAAGGATCCCGTTACTTGCCATCTAATTTCTTGGATTGCCACGATTTTAATTTTAAATCTCCCTATTTCTTGTGTCACTGTATGTGCCGCTCCAGTGCTGTATAATGTGCAAACGTATGGAACGTACTGAAAGATATTTCCGATTTCCAGTTTCCATTTTTGTTTTCTTTATCTTCACTATTCTGAGGCTTTTTGTTTGGATACTGAACATAAGTTTTTTTACGAGGCTGGGTTTGTAATCCAGAACTCAACCTCCAACCTGGAAGACCAGACCACTCCAATCACTTAAGACCAGAGTGGGGCTATTGCAGCGCCCAATGAAGGGTACTGGGCGATGGGGACGCCACTTTCCCAACGCCAGAAAATAATAAATAAATAATTATATCCAAATCAATTCAAATCTCGGCACATTAGTTTTTTTACAATCATCTCAGTAATCCATCTCACAACTAGGTAAGTAGCAGAGATTGAACTGTAGGTACCTACAATGCTTTAGAGATAATAGGAGATCTAAGGAGCTTATGTGATTTTAGACTACATACACCTACCTACCTTGTTAATGTCATACATTTTCAAATTCAGTTCAATTAGAATAAACAATTTAGGTTAGATTTAGGAAGTGGGTTAGGGTGTTTCACCACTATTTACTGTCTGCGCTTGTACTTTACACAACATTACCCATACATTTCTGGTGGTATAGTACCTAATTCCCACTTGCGTGTGGACATTTCTAAGAAAATGAATCCTTTCCATTAGAAGGTTTTAGACGAAAAACTATATCAATTTAATTTTTATGCTCGGTCGTCGAGATTTAACTGTAAGTGCTTGAGATCAATATGTATATTTATAACAGACTTAACATTTTGAAAGCTTTGTGCATTGTTCTAGCATTAAAAATATCTCGATTGTCAGCCGTTGAAAATGCCATAGTCTTTAGTTTTTTTTTTTAAGTTTTCTCGTCGAATACCAATGTTGAAGGGCAGCCATTTTACATTATTTCTCAGAAATGTGAACTTTGAATTCTTGCACACCACGAGAATTGTCGCATGTTAATTTTTTGTATCGAGCGGTATGAGATAGACAAACATTTAAATATAAGTAGCCAGTAGGTAGTTAGGTACATTGGTTATTACTTATTTGGTTATACAGATAGAGGTAATTATATTGTATATACCCCCGCCATCTGAAGCGATCCCTGAAATGTCCTTGGTTTTCTTTGTAAATACAAACAGCCGAAGGAAATCAATAAAAGGAAATCCCATAATCGTGCAACTACAATTCACTGTATTATAAAACGTCACGATCTGGGTAATTAGGTAGGTACTAACTAATTACTATAATTACTAATGACTAACATACTATACTTATTGGGTATAGTATTATTGATACTATTGTAATTTATAGACTCAGTACCGATTATTTTTAATCTGCGCACTGTCAATTAATGTGATGGATACCTACGTGGCTACAAAAGGCTACGTAGGTAATAGTATGGTATGAAATATATTTTTAAACGTATCTGTTTTCAGTATTCAAACGGAGTGTTTCGAGCCAGACGAAAATTTTCTCGGCATTTTCGGGACGGATGGATTCATTCCACATAGTCAACTATCAAGACATCGATTCGCAGTAAAATAATAATATGATCTCCCGTCTTTATATTTTATATAATAATATAGGTAACACACATACCTACACACATACTTATAAATATCATACCTATATAATCTATTTATGATTTTGTTTAAGATTTTATTTTCAGTTTCATAATATTACAATACTCACTCATTACACTTTTCTAGTAGGCACTTAGTGCTTTATATTTAATAATATATAGGTACCTACCTCCATAATTTTAGTATCCAATAAATTCGTGTAGCCAGGTATAGATGATATACCATATTTTTGTAAAATGCTATAATAATATAATCTTGTAGATTGCAATCATATTATAATACTGTTATAAGCTGTTAAATGGTTTTAAAATTTCGATTAAGTTGTTCTCGCTTTTATACATCAAATGTTTTTTTATGTGTGTGTGTTTTTTATGTTCGAAAGTTTTATGTGGGCATCTATATGTTGCCAAAAGTCCATTAAATTATATTGAAGCTCGAATTATACACATCAATGATCAAATAATCAAACTGAAATTTTTTAATAATATGTCGTGAATAAATACTATCATTATCTTGWAATAATAATTGTGTGAGGTATAATAATATTATTATAAACATTGAACGATAATATTAGCAATACCTACTATATACTTGCGTCTGTAGTTGAGTGTTGTAAAATAGCATAATTTTTGGTATCAGAGTATTTGAATTAATATACTTATATACATATGTCTATATATTTATACACTTTATAGAATCTAATAAAACAATAAAAAAGATAATGTGTGTAATCTTATTTTGAATTCAATATACCTACCTACACAGCAAGTATAAGTACTTACCTAACTAATTGATTTACCTACTTAGGTATACAGTGAAAAAAAAATAATCATTTGTTTGCAAATACTTTTAATTTAAGTTATGTTATGTACAATATGATATAATTTGTATAACGATTTCATGTTATTCTATTAATAATGTATAAGGTAAAATATCGTCAAATAAATATTTAAGCTTTAAATTATCTAGCATGTATAAATGTATAATATAATAACTAATAAGTATTTGACATCACGTTAAGTTATGATTCGCATTTTCTATTCACGTTTAAACGTTTAAGAGGTGATATTTTATGTTTATTTAGGTATATAGCAAATAGATAGGTATAAACCACTATAGGTAGTACTTATCTAATTTTGAATTTTGCAGTAAACTTAATATTACGACATTTTAAATTTCAATAATGATTAACTACATCGATTACGTTTGCATTTATAATTGTATTAATATTTTTAGATTCTTAGTGGAGTAATGATTGTACTGATTTTATACAAATGATACACATTGTACAATGATGTACCTACATATTATGAGGTTTTTTTTTAGGTAGGAAGTGTCAAGACTAGGGCTAGGACTAGGGCAGTTCGATTGTCATAAAATATAACCAATTGTCAAAAGTATTAAATAATCGAAATTTTCGATTAATCGAAGATTTTCATCAAAGAGTGCTCGATTGTTGAAATAGTCTAGGACCTATTGATTAATCGATTAATTTGATCGATTAATCTATTAAAACAATCGATTAATAGATTAACGGTTTAACTGGTTTAAGTATAGTATAGGCAGTATAGCTCAATTATATTTCCTGCCAGGTGCCCAGAAGGTTTAAGGTTGTTGTTTTACTCACTTCAGAAAAATTCAATAATTTATGGTTAGATTAATATTTAATACACTTTTGAAATACTAAGAACTAAGAAGTATAAAGGGTATTCTGTTTGATGATTAKAATGATAATGGTCGATAGATAACATTTTGAGTATTTTGACACTGTGTGTGCTGTACAAGGGCAGTGCAAACGGGTCACTTGACCAGGCCCTAAGGGCCTCCGTGTATTTAATAACAACCACATATAGGCAGGGACAGGCCGCAGGCTCACAGGAATTTAAATTGGGAGCTAAGAATATGACATAACTAAGGATCTGTACTCTGTAGTGAGATAAATTTTAAGATCTAAAGTGGTGCCAAAAACTGAACTGGAATCTTGTATTCTTGTGCAGATAGGTTAACAATTTTGATGAAAGAGCTCTAATTTGTAGTTATTAGTGTTATTACTAATGCTATTATTATAGAAAATGTATTTAAAATTTTAAAGATTAAAACTAAATAGTAAAACTCACAGCGCTTGTATTAAACGCGGCAGCGCAACGATCGTTTCGTTATTATAATCAATAACCATGGCAGTATACTAATATGTTAAAAATGTACGATGTATATCGATTAATCGATAATGCGATTAATCGGTGTTGAATACTTTTAAAAATAATAATCGATTAATCAATTAATCGATGCTACAATCGATTAATCGAAACAATCGAACAGCCCTAGTCAAGACTCATGAAGTCATGACTGTTATAAAGGAGAAAAAATACACCAATTTTCAACTGCAATAACTTTTTTTATTAGGATAGCGAATCAAAAGAATTGGCACTCTACAATTCCATAACTTAATAATGGTGAAAAATAAAAAATAAAAATCGGAAAAAGGAATTATACGCAAAACCGATTTTTGAAAAAATCAATTTTCTTACTTTGTTGTAATTCAGAACTAAAATATAATCATAGACTAAAGACACTTGAATTTTAAATAAATTTATTTTTGTATTAGTATTTTCGTTTCGTGGTATAATTTTCACAATATGTTTGGATTTTTTTTCTATAAATATTGATATAACATTTTTTTTGTTCTCTGTAAAGCTTGTAAATTAAATACATCGTTACGCATAAGAATTTTCTTCTGAAACAAAAAAAAAAAAAAATAAATAAAAAATATATCAACGTATTTTTATAGTTATTTTAAGTTTAAATTTGGATAAGACTAGATATTTAAACAAAGAATAACAATTTTAGTTATTTTGTAATAATTTCGAAATATTACTAAAGAGGACTCTAAAATTTTACGTTTATTATTGTGTTTTATATTAAACACATTACACAATGAAATTTTTAAAACAAAAATTATAAAATAGAATAACTCATTACTTATTTATTAAAATAACTTATTAAATTAAAACCTAAGTATCTGTAAACGCATAAGGTGACCAAAATGTTGATGAACAACCTTGTCGTTTTATAAATAATAATAAGTGGACTGTATGCTTTTTAATTATTAAAAGAAATAACAATAAGGTATAATAAAATGATCTGCCTGGATGGCAATACAAAAAATAATAATTGGTACAATAAATAATAGAATTTGCCCAAGTTGGCTAACAAAACAATATAAAAATTCAATAATAAATTTGGCCTAAGTCGACTGACAATAAATATAAATTCAATAATAAATTTGGCCTATGTCGGCAGACAATAAATATAAAATAAAATAGCTCTTCGAGCAGTTTCACTTGGAGCTGACGAAGCTACCTCCACCAAGCAACGAGTAGCTAAATAAGGAKCTGATTTTGTACCGTACGTGATTGTGCGAAGGTTATATTCCCTTAACAGTTCAGAATGATTTGGACGATGCCAAATTCGTTGTAATTGACAGTCCTTTGGAGTTACTAGTATTTGACGATACATTTTTTCAACGTCTGCAGTTAATGCTATCTTATGTACTTTAAATTTTAATAATATTGAAAACAAGGAAGATTGCTCTATAGGTCCTTTTAACATGACATCATTAAGGGATAGCCCGGAACTTGCTGGAGCTGATCCATCAAAAACAACTCTTAATTTTGTAGTGATGCTGTCTTCCTTGGTGACAGCATGGTGAGGCAAATAACATGTTTGACTATTCGAATCAACATTAGTTACCAGTTCTATGTGGTTCATGTCTATGTACTCTGACATAACTTATGGTAGGCTCCGCATAGTTCCCTGTCTTTACATAACCGTTTTTCCAAATTGAAGAATCGTTGTTGCGCCATGTGTTTAGATTTACCAAGCGAACTAATTTTAGTATTTAACGGAAGGCTAACAACTAATCGTCCTGAATCATCTCTGTGTGTCTTCTTAAAATGCTGTTCAGCTCCATCTTCTTCATCTTTACGAACACTTGAATTACTGATAAATAGTGAAAGCGCTGAATTTATGGTTGAATCGTTAGCACAAACGCAAGCAGAAGGTCTATACTGTAGTATAACTTCTCTATTTAATACCCTTCCAGTAAGAACCCACCCAAGTGTGGTTTTGTGAAACACTAAATTATTTGTAATGTCAACTTTTTCTCCACTGAAAAGTGTATAAAACATTTCTGCACCAAGTAATATATCTATCATGCCTGGTGTATCATAGCTTGGATCTGCCAATTGTTCATTAACAATATCTGGAATCTTCGACTGATCTAAACGTATTAATTGAGATGGCATATCATTTGCGATTGAAGGAAGTAGATGAAGGTCTAATGAAACGTTGTAATTTTCAAACCGAGAGTACATAACAACAGGTTGCAATCTCTGTGCATCTGACTTCATTGAGTTGATACCAACTATTGGTATAAAACATTTTGTTTTAGACAATCCAAGAAATTGGGCACAGGCATCAGTTATAAAACTAACTTGTGATCCTGAGTCCAATAGTGCTCTACAGGGATGAAGATATCCAGCTGCATCATTAATGTACACAACGGCTGTGGCTAACTTGACCATGTCACCTGGCGCATGCTTTGACTGTGCTATACTCTTACTGACGCATAGAGCATAGAGCCAATTTAATTAAATTTTTACATAATAATGGGACTAATTACAAAACGTTGCTAGATCTCTGATACAAATAATATAAACTAATTAAGTAATAAATCTAATACATATTAGTAAATAATAGTGATGCACCGCCTACCTAGGTATGGTTATGGGTTGAGCAATGCCGTGATCCGTAGTTATAATAATTATTATACAATTTAAGAAAAAACTTGGCGTGATCCGTACATGTGCTTCAACAGCGCTAACCACACAACGACTATACACACTCCGAGATCAAAAACCCAAATACTAATGTCGATTGAATGCTGTGCCCTCAACAACCAGGCACCAACAGTAAATACGATATATCCTAAATTTTAAGTGCGTTTGAATTTTAAATTTTTATGAAATAGCGTAACGATAACGATTTATCCTSAAAYSATTTTAMAYATTTGTTATTATTCAAAAAGTATAAGTCGTAGATACGTGAAAATTTTATCAGTTATTTAGATTGGCATTTTCTTTACATGATTTAATTTTCAAAATATTTTGACTT